GATTAGACCAGATTTTGAAAATATAAATCAGATTAGTTTTTTTCATACAAAGAGGACGTGCCCTTGGGCCCTTAGTTTGTATCTTGATCAACCGATTTTTTTAAAAATGAACAAAAGCCAATTGAAATGTTATACGATTGCATGTTACTTTAATCTTTCAATTTTATGAAATCTGACACATATAGCCAATGTAGGCTAAGCCCTCCAAAGCTACATAGTTCAAAACCCAACACACAAACACAGCCTAAAAATTCTGAATTCCCTTCTAGATGACATTTTTTCTTCGATCCCACAGGATTGCATTTCACTTCTATCTTCCAAGGCATGGAGTTTAGACAAGGCCCATGGCTTCAATTTCTTTCCAGGCACCCAAAGGTTGTGTTCCCTTTTTCCCCTCTGAAGTGAATTAGTAGTTAGTTTAGTATATGGTTTTGCATTGCTCATATCCATGGTTGCTGCTGCATTCACATTATACTAGTTATTGATCTTTGTTAATATTTTAAATTCATGGGACTAGTTTATATCAAGATTGTTTATGTGACATATAGAAGTTAATCTTGCTCGATTGCAGTATGGAGATTCTAGCAGTTTTTAAGAGAAGGTCAAAAGGTAAAAGGAATTCTGGAAAGAAGAAAAGACCCTCCTAAGGGTAGCTGTATTGTGACAGTGATAGATTTCCGTGGACATGTTTTCTTGATCCAGGCCTAGAAGAGTCATGTTGTTGTTATCTTTTCAGGGCATTTGGCCTATAATCGACCCCCCCCCCCCCCCCCCCCCCCCCGCACAATCAAGAAAGAATAGAAATGAAATGGGCATGGCCCTGGTTCAAAAAGACACGAGCCATGCAAAAGAGGCAGCCTGCCAAACTTTCACCCTCACGTATCAAATATCTAGTACGAGTTTGGGAGCTTGAAAATGAGTCGAATGGTGAAACAACGTTGTTACTTGAGCATATGCAAATGAATATTTGAGCACGTTTGATTATGTAAATGAGTTTTTGAAAGCTCATTTCATAAGTTATGTATGCTCATTGGGTATTGTTGTCTTGTTTACTTTAAAATGTCAATTCAATGTATATTTTAAAAGTATAATGCTACAATATATTCACATATTAGAATTCACAGGAGTTGATTATAGTTTTTTTTATCGAAGGTGACTTAATTCATATAAATAACATTCAGCAAGGGTACAAGATAATAAAAGAACTGCATGTCATCATCCGCTCGTGGCCGAGACTGAGAGTTAACCACCTGTAAGAAAGCAGTATAACTCGCTAGACTGAGATTGGGCAACTTAAAGCCAATGACGATTACGGATTACCGTAGAACTTTCAAAACCCAAACCTAATGCAAGAGTCTTACAGAGCAAAAGGAAATAAAGGCAAGACAGAATGAGAAATCCAAAGTAAAAACAAGCAAAACAAAAGATAACAATAACACCATGATTTTCAGCACCATCAACAGCAGGTAGATCCTCGTCGGGCCTAAGCAAGTTGACCCGCTGCCTCCCCATTTTTTGGCCCATCAAGAGCCATGTCTTCTCCAACTGCATCTCCTGTGACCCGATTATCCCAAATCCTTCTCCGTTTTGTATCTCCAGGGGCTTCCTCCTTTTCCTCTGTCTCTTTTTGTTGTGGAACATTAATCTTTGATTCAGCCAAAAAATCTCCCCCTAGATCAGCCTTCTGCTGCTTTCCGTATCCACCTGAGCTAGACGCCTCAATAGATAGCCATTTGTTGGACCCAGTTGGGCTCATCTTCACTCTTCCACCCGCTCTGAGGCCTACCCCATAAGATTTTTCGGCAACAAAACCTTCTTCATACTTCAAAGGGCAAAATTTGTCAGAATGTCCAATTATACCACATAGAAAACAAAAGCTGGGTAGCTTTTCATACTTAAAATCCACCCAATGCTGGATCCCATCTTTTGTCAAAGTAGTACCCTTCTTCAAAGGCCTACGAACATCCAAGCACACCCTTATCAAAGGCCTTCTCCAAATGCTGGATCATAATGACTCATCTCGAATTTGATGAATGAGCCTAAAAAATTGCCAATTTTCCTGGCAGACCTCAAATTTCTAAACTTAATAGGAGCATTATGACATGTACCCAGAAACTAGCTTCAAATATATTCATAGACTCAGGAATATCATCAGGCTGAACAACTTTCATCAGAATTAAATCATGTTCATAAAGTCAAGGACCATCTTCAAGCACACGATTCATATCCAAAACATGATTAAAGTTTAGCAGATACCTTTTTTCACCAATTTCCGTAATAGTCATACCTCTCCCTGGCCGCCAAAGCGAAGTCGTCAGTTCCTGAAACCCCGGCAGTTTGATTTTTCGATCGGTGACTACAACTCCAACCATCGGGAAGGTCTGTGCCTCGGCCTCCTCTTCTCCTTCCTCTGTCGTCTCCTCATCGAAGTTGAGTTCGTTCAGTTGCTCTTCGATTGCCATTCTTTTGTACGAATTGACGACGATAACTTCCATCCAAAGGACTGCGTGATCGAAAACGCTCTGCTATGACGCCCACCCAAGCCGAATTTGCCTTGCCTGCTCCGACAGCCACCAGCGGTTCCTTTTCCTCCCTGAAAATCCGATCTTCGTGGTAAAGAAATCGGAAGAAAACACCCTAGCGGCCGCACCCTAGGGAATAACGAAGATTTTGAGAGAAACTTTCGGGTCCGTCTTCACGCTTATTTTTTTGAGTTGATTATAGTTATTAATTAAGAAATTTTTGCAAAAGAGAAATAAAGAAAATTGAGAAAAAGTGAATTAAAAGACTTGAGAGCAGAGGAATCAATAAACTATTTTATCAAGCACGTGAATTTTGATTTCATATATTCCCTATCAAATTGAGTAATGATTGAAAAAAAAGTAAGATTTAAGTAATTTTTTTTACTAAAATTGCGGAAGATGACTATTATGGTTATATTTTCATACAATTTTTTTATTTATTTTATGCATAAAATATATTTTGAGTGCTCCATCTGTCTCTCCAGATTTTGCCAACTTTCATTTTTTTGTACCAAAAACTTTGTCAGTTTTCTTTTAAAGCAATGAATTTGTGGCTCTAATAACTTCTCTTTCATCTGTACAAATCTCAACCACAAAATTGTTACTTTTTTCATTTCATATCCAGCGTAAAATTAGCAAAGTTGAATAGGACGAAGGTAATATTCCGTATAAGCTTTCAATAATTTACCAGATTTAACCAATTCAACTGCTTCTGCTAAAGTTTCATCTTTATCATTCTCGGTTGTAACTATTTGTCTAACATCTTTCGTTTAGTTCATGCGCGAAAAACCAACTCATTGTAATAATTTGAGAGGCAATAAGGTGTTTGACAATTAGTTGTTGATGGGTAGCTTATTGTGTCAGCTGTTGGATGTTGATTGATTTCGTTGGTTGCTTTGATTAGCTGATGTATTAACCGTTTATATAATACTCCATAGTATTTTGTTAGAGGATTGTTTTGCAATCCGCTAATAAATCATTAAATCACTTTATTTAATGATTTACTAAATCATTAAATCAGTTGTTTTATTTACTAACTACTTTTGTATAGGTATCATACGAGTATATTCAGTACATTTCAACCATGTTAGTTAGGATGTTTTTACTTGGATTGTAATTTGCTGGTCTGGTCTGATCTGGTCTGGTCTGAACTGGTCTGGTCTGGTCTGGTAAGGTCTGGTTTCTTTGTATTTTTATAACTATCCAAGTCTGGTCTGGTCTGGTCTGAACTGGTCTGGTCTGGTCTGGTCTGGACTGGTCTGGTCTGGTCTGATCTGGGACAAATTACAGTCCAAGTAAAAACATCCTTACTCAACAACTGTACAAGCACTTACAACATTTTTGTTTAATAAAAAATAATTTTTGTAATACAAGTAACAATTCTATTTTTTGAAACATGGTTTTCATCTTTCTCATATTATAACAGAATCATATTTTTGCTAGTGTCTGATTCTTATATGCCCAAGCTAAGTAAGTTGCTAGTCCAAAACTTACAGCATTTTTGTTTAATAAAAAATAATTTTTGTAATAAATACTCCCTCCGTCCCTAAATGTTGTTCCAATTGCGGATTACGAAGGTTGACCGACGACAAAGTTAAATGATCCCTATGAAAACTCGGATTATTTTTAGTAAATAAAATTTACATATTCAGAAACCACATTAAACCCGCTACAAAGCCTGCAAAATATAATTCAACTTTTATAGAATTTTGATATAAAAAGTAAGAGTTTAAGAGGGAGTATTTTTTATACATGTATAGAATGTAAAGTTTCAACTTTTTAACACATGGGTTTTTGTTAGTGTCTGATACTCTGATTCATGTTTATGTTTACTGTATGTATGTAAGGCTAACCGCAACCTAGCCCGTCAATAAATCTAATCTCCCACCTTTTTATACGTATTCACTCAATCAATTCAGTTTTTTTCTGCAACCCAACACCGTCAATGTATTCACTCCGCACATTTTTTTATAATTAAATGCAAAAATCCTTACATTTTTTTTTATTTTACATCGTTTATGTGACATTTTATTTTTACCAATAATTATAATTTAAAAAGTCAAACATTTCGATGTAAAAATAAATAAATTTAGAGTTTAGTTTTTTTTTTGTTATTTCGTGCTTATATTTTTTTAAAAAATAATGCATGAGATATTCTTTTTAGTTTTTAACATTTGGATCTACTTAAGAATAATTTTGAACCTAAAGATTTCTATCGGATAAAACATCATATTTTTTTTAACTTTATATATATATATATATATATATGATATTGGTGTCATATGAAAGATTATAAAAAGTTATACATTTTGATATATTATTTATAAAAATTGAATCATTAATAAAAAAGTTATACCATTTTTAAAAAATTTGGGATTTTAATCTTTCATACAGCTCACATTTTTTCTTTGCTGCGGATACCAAGGAAGCTATTTTTTTTCTTTCTCCAAAAGTCAATCCACCGACTATATCCCCACGCAAGGGGTTTCCCAACCCACTACAGGACCTTGCTATACTCTTTTTGACTTGGGTTGCAGCTCAATTTGGGGTGAAAACCTCAAATTTGGGTTTCCACCCCCTTGCATTGCTGATAGCCTAAAAAAGCTATGTTGTCCGAAGGCAGTTGAAAACAGAGACGGAATTTTCAACATCACCTTCTGCCCGCAACCCTAAACCCTGAGAGTTAAAGTTAGAGTCTTTCCGCGCCCTTGTACAGGTCAGATTCTCACTTTCTCTTGGCGTTTGGAGTTAATGCCTAAGGTCCAGAATGAACTCTTATTAGTAATGGAGATCTTAAGATTCACCGTTTAAGAACTTTACACCATGCATTCACTTCATTACACACTCTGATATGCATCGGAGTCTTGGTAAGCATCGTCTTATCTGTCGTGCTCGCATTTCCAACTATGTGAAAACTGGGCTTGTAGATGAAGCAATACAGGTGTTCGATAAAATGACTACTTCAGACTGCAGGGTTTTCAGCATTGATTACAACAGATTTATTGGCGTCCTGATTAAGAATTTTCGGTTTGACTTGGCAGAGCAGTATTACCATGAGATGAAGCCAAATGGTTTCTCCTTGAACCCTCATACATATTCAAGATTTATTTCCGGCTTGTGTAAAGTTAAGAATTTTGAGCTTATTCATAAACTTTTAGATGATATGGATAGGCTTGGGGTAGTCCCATATATTTGGGCGTGTAATATATATTTAAATCTTTTGTGTAATGAAAACTTTGTCCAGTTAGCTCTGGAGATGTTGAGAGTCATGGGAGAGAAAGGTAGAGAACCTGATGTAGTCAGCTATACTGTAGTTATTAATGGACTGTTTAAGATTAGAAGGTTTGACAATGCAATTGAAATATGGGATATGATGATACGGAAAGGTCATACACCTGACTACAAGGCTTGTAGAGCTGTCGTATTGGGTCTGTGTGAGTATGGGAAGGTTGATACAGCATACGAACTAACATTAGGTGTAATGAGAAGTCGAATTAAGTTTGACATTAAAATATACAATAAACTCATTGATGGGTTCTGCCGAATTGGAAGGATTGATAAAGCTCAAACGATTAAGTCATTCATGAGAAGAAATGGGTGTGATCCTGATCTGTCCACTTACAATGTTTTCTTGAATTATAGTTGTAATGAGCTTATGTTGGGGGAAGCAGAGAGATTGATAGAGAAGATGGAAGTTTGTGGTATGATACCCGATCACTACAGCTATAACCAGTTACTTAAGGGTCTATGTAGGGCAAATAAAGTGGATAAGGCATACACGCTGATGATAACTAAGATGGGACCTAAATGTTTGCTTGATGTTGTCTCATATAACACAATAATTAGAGCGCTTTGCCAAACGGGCCACTCCATGAGGGCGTACAAGCTATTAGATGAGATGAGGGAAAGGGAAATATGTCCAGATGTAGTAACTTTTACGATTTTGATAAAATCGTTCTTAGGAGAAGGAAACTCTGATGTAGCTGAGATGATTCTTGACCAGATGACACAAATGAATCTTTTTCCAGATTGTGTGTTATATACCACTATTATCCACCATCTTTGTAAGACTGGAAGGATAGGGACAGCACAGAGCACTTTCCATGACATGTTAGAGCAGGGAGTGAGCCCTGATGTTGTTTCCTACAATGCATTGGTTTACGGGCTTTGCAGAGCTTCTAAAGTTAGTGAAGCTATGAATCTTTATGAAGACATGCAAAAGAGGGGTTTATGTCCAGATGAGGTGACATTCAAGTTAATTATTCAAGGATTAATTAATGAAAAGAAACTTTCTTGGGCTTGTGCAATATGGGATCAGATGATGGAGAAGGGATTTACTCTCGATAGTGATTTGTCTGAAAAGCTAATTAATTCCATGAATATAAAAGGCTTTTCTTCCAAGGATGACAGGTGACCCGCAGGCTAAGAGTCTATTTAGCAAGGGTTATTTGGCTGATATAAAAGCTAATTAATTGATTGAACCTGAAAGTTGTGTTCAAGTATGTCAGGTGACCAGCAGTCTAAGTTCCTGTTATTTAGGTTATTTGGCTGATATAGAAGGATCTGCTGATTTTTTTAAAATGAAAAGTGCTTGATAAAATGCAGTTCAACCAAATAAGTCAAAAGCTACTTGTTCTGTCATTCTAAGTTGATAAGCTGATGAAGTGGGCACTAAATCGGTTGAAGTGTATTCCGAGCCTTTCTTTCATTACAAGTTTCTCATAATGGAGAGCCAAATTGATGGCAAGTGGTAGAATCACTTCTTTATGTAAGTTCCTAGTTTGGTCTATGTATAATATACTCCGTACCACTTATAAATGAAGCAACCTCACAATTGTTTTTTATTTCTTGCAGTTATACCAACTCTCCATTTATACTCCGTACCACTTATAAATGAAGCAACCTCACAATTGTTTTTTATTTCTTGCACTTATACCAATTCTCTTTGCAGGTGATGCAGAAATGAACTCATTTCTTGAATTTCTTGAAGGGGTCCTTTATCCTTATGCAAGTATGATATACTTTTTGACAAATTGTTCTCTCTCTTTTTACCATGTATATATTAAGCTGATAAATGTTTTTTTCTGATTGGTAGACATTTCACAATCACTGTAACCATCCAGGAATATTGACGGAACCACACATCTTATTCCTGCACTTCTATGTTTACTCAATCAATGAAATCTCTAGATGTACATCATTATAAGCAATATTTAGAATTGTAGATAGGTAATTAACCTGTTGCCAGCCTTTACTCATAAAGCTGTTTGTAGTGTTGGCTGTGAAAGGGCTAGATATACCCAAAATTGGCCCTATGGGAGGGAGGAGGGGGGAAACCAACTCCAATTCACTCCCTCAGTCGAAATTAAATTAAAGACAGCAGCATAGAAGTAGTAGCAAGGGTCTAGTGGGCAGGGAGGTGCAGGGAAGAGAGGTAATACTGATGTCAGCGTGATGTCATGCCAAGTTTTTATTTAAAAAGTACTCCGTATAAAATAATTTTTTTATAATAACATGCAAGTTTATAAAAAATGATTTTTTTTGTTAACCAAAAAAAGTAAAAAAAACATTTCTCTTTTCATCCAAATGTAGTGTTTTTGGAGTTGTAATTATTTGCAACATTTTCGGATTTTTTAATAATATAAGTAATGTTTTATTATATGCAAATAAAATATGCGTAGTGAATAATATTGACTCTTGTTGTGCAACAACAACATCCAAGGCTTAGTTCCAAAAGAGTTTGGGATCGGCTAACATGAGTCGACACATGAAATTGGAGCTAAAAATATTCTCTCGTTGTAATGTGACAAAAAACTAGATTGACGGAGTGAATATGGTATTTTTGTATTCAGAGTGAATATTGGATTTAATGACGGTGTAGGGATGCAAATAGCATTAAGGTGTTTATTTTTTCCCACGTCCCAAAAGAAGAGCTATTTTGAAACACCGTTTTCACATATATAGAGTTGTACTGTATTATATATAATGCAGTACATAGTACTCCTTATTTTCCCTGTTCCCTGAAGGTAAGTTGTCATTCTTCTTCTCCTCCTCTTCTATCTCAAACCCACAATTATATGCATGTTTCGTTGTATTATTGGAAGTAACAATATAATATTGTGTGTTCAATATAGTGATACAATAACACTGCTAAGTTTCTATCATTCATTGAAACAAATGCCATTAGACCCTAGAGTATCAGCTTCTTTTCTGAACATATCGATCTCGTCCATTAGGCTATATATCGACTTACACAGTATGCCTTTCAGCAGATAAGGAAACTATGGAATAATTCCCCTCTTGCCACACAGGGAGGAGTTGCTGGTGATGGAGAGTGGCATTTGTGGCGCTTCTGTAATTGCTATTGGATATGGCTTCTGTAAAGTGTAAACTAGGGCTCTAGAAAAACAGTCTTATTCTTGGGAGAATGGAGAATATGGATGTTTCTGACGAATATGAAGATCAAAATTTCATGCGAATCTACAATGTAGAAGAATCTGTTTGTTCAGAGTTGGCCTGTACAGATCCCCACACAATATTGGTGCGGAGCAGTTGGTTTACGGCTGCTTAGTCCATTCTTCTCAGACCTCCCAGTTGTAATCTGTAGTTATTCACAAAGTGGAATTTCAATATCAAAAGATTGTGATGATTATTAAGCACTTCAGGATGACAAATAAAAGCTAGGTGTGCTGCTAATATTGTGGATTTGCTCGCATTGGTCGATTGGCTGGTGTTTTTTGTACATAGCGATTAGCAAGTTGGATTGACTCGAGCAACGATCATGAAAGGTATAATGTTTTCAATCTGCACTTGTTTTTACAAAAACCATACAAAGTGTGGCATGTATTCATGTATTATAAACTTCCTGAACACGTATAGCTTTCCATAGAACCAATCAAAATATATAATTATGAGTTCGTTTGATAACATTTGTTTTGTGTTTTACATTCTCTCTAGTCATGGACTCGGGCCGGGCCTAGGCCCGGTCGGGCCTCGGGTTTTTTGAAGGAGGCCCGGGACTGGCCCGGGTAGCCACAGGGTCCGGGCCCGTGCCGGGCCGGGCCTCGGGTCAATTTTTTTTCCTTTTCCTAATTAACCCCCCCTCCCCTCCTCACCCCCAACCCCCCAAACCACCCCAAATGGCCCAAAATACCTAGCCCAACCCGAAAAGATAAAAAATTGGGGGGAAAAAAAAATTAAAAAGCCCGGAACCGGGCCCGAACCGGCCCGGCCGGTTCGGCTTTTGGGTAACCCGAGCCCGCACCGGGAACCCCCCGGGCCTACCTACCCGGACCGGTCACTGGCCGGGCCACCGGACCGGGCCGGTTCAACACAGTACCGGTCCCGGGTCGGGCCACCCGGGCCGAGTCCAAGACTAAATTCTCTCTTTGAAAACAAAGCTGCTGCTGCGAAAACATATTTGTATCTTTTGATTTCTCAAAAGAGGGAAGCAAAAATATACGGAGTATAATAGAAAAATGGGTTTTATTATCAAACATGTATATTTACCATTAGACATTAGAGTTTATTGATAGTAACAAAAAAGGTGCATTTTTTGGTCGGCAGAATAAGAAGTTTTTTGAAAAAATGGCACGCCTATCACTACAAGACATTCCATTTCCAAAAAAATACAAGTTTTACATTTTCCCAAAAATTTGACTGTATCCACCGCATCCCATCTTCCCCAATCTACTCTCTTCATCTTCCCCTCCCATCATTCGATCTCCAATCCCCAAACAACGTCTCTCCATCTCCGTGAAGTGAAGCATCCATCACCCCAGGTCGCTGACCTCCACCTTCAAGTTGTCGTCTCTGTCATCATCGCAAGTCGCGTCTCCGCCAATATTCAACGTCGCCGCGTGAGCTTCTGGAGGTGGTGCGGTGGCTGGTTTAGGAGATTAACACCTTCTTCTTCGTCATTTTCTTCTTAATCTGTTCGATTTGTTCGATTTTGGGGCTTCGTCGCCATCTTTAGCATTCCAGATCTGGAATGGGGATGATATTGCAGGGGAAAGCGCAAGGTTTGACAGTGTAAAGGGGACTGGAGAGAGCGCTAGATAGGGGCGGTGGTGGCCGGAAGCTGGAGATGAAGGCCGGTAATGGCGGCGGTGGCCGTATGTTGCTGGCGGCATTGGACGGTGGTGGCCGCAGGAGATGTGAAAGGGTAATGTGTCCGGTTGGTTACTGTTGTGTGGTTACTGGTCGTTGACAGTGGTGGTCGGCAGCAGTGGCCAGTGGTGGCGCTGGTGGTGGTGTACGGTTAAGCTTGTGACAGCAGTCACTGGCCGGAGTTGGCGGCAGTCACTATGGTGGCAGTCACTTTGGCGACAGTCACGTTGGCCGGAGTCACTTTGGCCGGAGTCACTTTGGCCGGAGTCACTTTGTCGGAGTCACTTTGATCGGAGTCACTGAGACGGCGGTGGCAGTGCCGGCGGCGACGGTGCTGGTGCTGATGGCGTCAGTGCTGGGGTTGGCGTTCAGGGAGGTGCTGGTGGCTGCAACTATTGTCTACTAATCAATTAATTATATAAAAGATATATTGAAATAATGAATTTGTGATTAAATAAAAGGAATAAAAGACTGTTAGTCACATTTATGAGAAAATTTAAAACATGTTACATTGTTGTCTTTTTCATTCATTTTAGTAATATTCGAATAAAAAGGCCAAGTTTTTTCAACTTCATGATTTGGTTGAAAAGAATTTAATTCATGAATAAAAAAGGTAACTGCCTAAAGTACTACTCCGTACTATTTTGTAGTACTATAAAAACTTAGGGCCTGTTTACTAACAGAAATATTTTCTGTTTTTTCAAAAATTTGGAAAACTGGAGATAGAAAAGTCAGAAAACATGTTTACCAAACTATTTTCCAAAATGAAAAAATCGAAACACGTCTCACTTTTCCCGTGTGAAATGGAAAACACGATTTACGCGTTTTCTAGTTTTAGAAAACTCGGTGCTACAGTACTCATTTATTTCGTTCGCCTTCCTCCTCCTACCACGCTTTCATTTCGCCTTACCTTCCTCCGCCTAACTTCATTACTCGGTGTTAAAGTCTCACCTTCCTCCTCCCTTCCAGCTTTAAATTAGGACTTGAGCATCGCCAAACACTGCACCTCATCGCCACAGCTTCAGATTTGTCCGAGCAAAGCATCCCTTCCCCCTCCTTCATGGCTACCACGGTCCAGGTTCACAAATCAGGCCGTCGCTGCTAGGAGCTGAGCCCCGACATCACAGCATCTCCCAGTTCTTCCGTCGGCTCCTGTTCTGCCAACGATTTGAAGGTAAGCTCTGAAACTCAATAAATTTAAAACCAATTCAGCTTCCTTCGGTTTCTGTTCTCCCAGTTCTTCCGTCGCTCCCTGTTATTCCGTCAGCTCAATATTTTTTTTTTCAAAATTTAAATCCGATTGGAATCTGAAAACCAATTCAACTTCTTATGCATGAAACCATGGTTAGGGCTTGTTTTTCTTAATTTGACTGTCACACTTAGCTTTAGTTTTAGTTTTGAATTAGCTATGGTTAGGAGTTTTTTCACAGTTTTACTTTCACAATTTTTTTTTCAAAATTTAAAACCGATTGGAATCTGAAAATCAATTGAGCTTCTTAAGCATGAAACCATGGTTAGGGCTTGTTTTTCTTAATTTTACTTTCACAATTAGCTTTAGTTTTAGTTTTGAATTAGGTATATTTTTTAAACCATTGAAATCAGCTTCTTAAGCCTGAAACCATGGTTAGGTTTGCTTCGTTCTGAATCCTTAAACCCAATTCACAATTAACTTTAGTATTTTTAATTCCTGGTAAATGTTGATGTACTAGTCGATAAATAAGGCGTATTTGATACCTTGGGTTGCAATCATTCAAACCAGAAATGAACTACGAGCAGACAATATATATTTGATTCATGGGTGCAGGGCTGCAATATATGGATAATATTTACAAGGCAGATTCTTTATTTTTGGACATTGTTTTTGTTTTGAACTCTATAAAGGAGTAAATGACATTATTTTTTACCTCATGAGTTGTTGATTCCATGAACATATTACCACATTTTATTAACATCAAGAGTTTATTTTACTTCATATATGTTTCAGTCCCTTTACATTCAGTTTATAGCATAGTATTTAGTAGTTTTTGTAAAGGCAATTGTAGATATTTGTAATAAGTATTTTTTAGATAGGTTTTTTATTTTTTTCATCAAATGGAGCTCATTTATGAATGACCACAGACTCCAAAATGAACATCCATTACCAAGTTAGAGCCTATGATATACATATCATGCAGTGATGGACATGGTTGATTGTACATATAGCTGCAAGAAAATACTCAAGCTGAAAAACATTCCTTTTGATACTGTTAGCAGGATTTGAAGGGAGGTGCTGTTTTTCTTAGACTGTTTTAAGTTACTCCATTTTGAAATATCTTTCTTTCTGTAGCATAAGAAAAGGAAAAGTAGCCACAATATAGAACCCAAAGCTAAGATTACCTCCAAAAAAATATCTGCCAGCTATAGTTTTTCATTTCCATAAAAACCACATGAATAGTTGAGTATAGTTTTAGGATATCTTCTCCGTCAGATATGGTAGAGGGGGAGGACCCTGCTAAAATATTTAAAAGAATTCCTCCAGCTATTAGCTATTAGGCTCTCCTGGAAACTGTTTCCCATTCATTAATCCCTAAGGTCTGCTTCGAATCAAGAAAATAGTAACGGGTAAAAAAGGAAAACAGAGAGGAGAGTGAGAGGGAAAAATAATTGGCAGGAGGGGGTAAGGTCAATCTCCATCAACACAGTCCCTCTACATACAATTTATGGCATAGTATTTTGTATTTTTTTTTAATTCCTAGCATTTATGTTGTATATTGCTACTCTTTTTATTATGTCATCTAACTTATGGTCTGATGAGTTAGATGAGTTTAACTCAAGAAGAAAAGGATGATGCCATATGGCCTGATGAAAGAGACTTTGTTTTTGACTGTGCTATATGAAAGAGTAAAAAAAGATCCCACTGGGAATCCAACATTTAAGGGTCGAGACTGGAATGATATGGATAATGAGATGTTGGTTCGAGGTCATTATCAATATGGTAGTGACAGACTACGGGGAAAGTACAATAGGATGAAGCTCATTCATAGACAATTCGGTCAGTTATTGGCTCATACTGGAGTTACATATGATTCTAGTCGGAATGTGGTTCATGCCACAGAGGAATGTTGACAGAAATTTTACAAGGTGAATGTTTATTTTAATTAATTTATGGGATTTGAATCATTTTTGTAATCATATTTTACTAAGCTCATTAATTGATAGATCAGTACTACAAACATGCAGATGAACAGGGGCTTTAAGACTTTTAAAATGAAGGGTTGCAAGAACTATCCGTTAATGAATCTTGTTTTTGGACAAGGGAGTGCAAGTGGAGGACTTGCTACTCCTTCCACCCAAGTACCGACACACTCGGATGAGGAAAGAAGGAATGAGGATATTTTCTTACATGGTGAAGGGGTCATGAGCTCAGCGAGATCGCACTCTAAAGGGAAACACAAAGTTGAGGAAGCGATGGGATCAAACAATAAGGACTGGAAGACTGTTTTGGCTAATGCGGTCCACGCATACACGACAACTATGAGTGACAAAGAAAAGAGACGTCGATCTCGAGATGAAGATGTTAGCACCACATCTACAGGTGTTGCGGGAAATTTTTCTATGACCCGATGCGTTGAAGTCATAAATGCCATGCCGAATGTGTCAACTCGTGCTTATAATGATTCCATTGACGCATTAACAGATGTTGTCCGACGTGAGGCCTTTATGGCTATGCCCGCAGACCGACAATTGGATTGGGTTATGCGATTTGATTCTAACTGGTTATATGTTAGATTCACTTAAACCGTGTTTGGATTTCGTAATCTGTGTTACATGTTTTATGTATGTGAACTTGAACACTTTGTTAGAACAATATTTATGTATGTTTATTTGTGGAATTATTGAATGTGGTTGTTACATATTATGTGTTTTGGAGTTTGTATCGCATCTGAAGCATGCATGTTATATGCTATTGCAGATACACAATGTCACATAATGGCAGTGGTGATGATATTTCAGACTCTGCAAGTGATGAAGATGATGAGTTCGGGGCCCTACTGTTAATGGCTACATGTGTTTTAGTTGACGTTGAAAGAATTCCATGTCGAACGTCTATACTCACAGGTAACGGTTATATCGATGAGTTAATGACAGGTCATCCAATAAGATGCTATGAAAGTTTTAGGATGAACCCACACGTATTCCTACGTTTATGTGAAAGGCTTAAGAATTTGGATGTTCTACACGATTCTAGATATTTAAGGGCTGAAGAGCAATTAGGAATAGGTCTTTTAGTGTTATGCCAAGGGGCGGGGCAACGTACATGTGCAGAGCGTTTTCAGCATTCTATGCGAACTGTTCACTTATGTGTGAAGCGTGTGGTGAGAGCACTTGCACGATTGGGCAAAGAAGTTATAAAGCCGGTTAATAGGGGCCCTGTTCAACCGGAAATTTTAGAAAAACCCAAATGGTATCCTTATTTTGAGGTATGTGTAAGCATAATTACCCTTTTCAATACTTAGGTTAACTCATACTATTAATGTTGTACAATTTTTGTAGAAATGTGTAGGTGCCATTGATGGTACTCATGTAGCAGCCTCAGCGCCCGCTTCTAAACAAAAGACGTTTCACGGTAGACATGCAACAGTCACGCAAAATGTCATGGCAGCTTGTAATCATGACATGTTGTTTTCGTATGTGTACACGGGTTGGGAGGGAATAGGCAATGACTCTCGAGTATTTTTAGATGCAATTACAAGAAGAGAAAATGGGCTGCCCATGCCTCCTATCGGTAATACAATAATTATGCTAATTGTGTTAATAAAGTCACTATTTAACAAAAATGGGTTCCCATTGAAAATGTTGTTGACTTCATTATAGGTTATTACTATGTGGTTGATGATGGCTATCCAAATGTTCCGGGTTTTCTAGCCCCATACCGTGGAGAGAGTTATCACTTAAAAGATTTTCGAGGCCGAGGACGAATACGCAATAAGCAAGCTTTATTTAACTACCGACACTCATCCGTGCGTAATGTGATCGAGAGGTGTTTCGGAGTACTAAAGGAAAGATTTCCCATTCTAGACATATCACGTGGTTACCCATTGAGAAGACAAGTTCAAATTCTCATAGCTTGTTGCGCATTGCATAACTTCATTCGCATGCAAGATAGGAACGATGATTTGTTCTTGGAGTACGAGGAAGATGATATGATACTTAACACGGAGGCAAGTACAAGTGAAAATGGATCAGTCGAATTTAATATGTCTCAACAACAACAAATGCATGAAATTCGAGAAAGTATTGCAAATGCAATATGGGATGATTATAATGTTTGAGATGTCGAAGTACAACTGTTGTTCTGATTAACATGTCACTTGTTGAACTTTCAGTGTTGGGGAACATTTATGTTATTTTTTTTTGTTATTTCAAATGTCCCTTTAAATGTGCATTTCTTTTTCAGAATATTAAGTCAACGTTGTATGGTAAAAATGAAATGAAAAATTGAAAAACTCTGGTAAACATGTTTTCTGATTTGGAAAACAAAAAATTGGAAAATGAAAACAAAAAACTACAGGCTTGAAAACAGAAAATGAAAACAGAAAAATATTCTTGTTAGTAAACGGGCCCTTAGTATTGTTCTTTTTCCCAACCGGTTTACAACTGTTTATCTCCTTTTCATGACACCATCACAAATCCACGTGCTAGATAGAGTCAATCTCCTTCATAAGAGCAATATGATTTGTTAATCCCAACACGAGCACTTGTAAATCCAACATGATCCTTCTAGACTTCTTGTGAGCCTCACACCTAACAAATAAAGAAATATCAAACCATTGTCTGATTCGGGTATACCAATAAGAAAATGAAAATAAAGACTAGGGCTAGTCTACGGCCCAAAAACAATGCAAAAAAGTAATTTGTAACTCAGTTAAAAATCTAAGCGGTCCTGGAACCCAAAGCCCTTCACTTTTTGTTATTTACATATCCACCTCCATATTTCCATTAGCTTATCTCCCCGCTCTTTTCACATTTGTCTCCTCTTCAAATACCACGCTTGTTCAACTATGGGTGCCATGTTCTCGACCCCTTTTCATTTCATCTCCCTCCAATTGTGATACTGTGTGAAACGGGCCTCCATCCTCCAACCAAAACCATGACTTTAAATCAAACATTGTTGAAGGTATCCGCCCGTTCTTGCTAACCTACCGACAATGTCCACGATTAACTCCACTGCAGCGGGAGTAGCCGACCAACGCGACGTGTCCCGTAAGCGATACATATCATCCTCCTAACTACAGATTGCTTGTCTGCCATCGCCACTTTCCATGATGTCGTTGCAATCCTAAACCTTAGAAAACTGAAAGCCAATATAATCTTAGTGCACCATAAGAGCCGAATAAAAGATCCATGTTGACAAGAGCAGTGGAAAACTCACAAACCCTAAGAGAGAGGAATTAGTCGTTTGATGCAAAACCTTCTTAAAATATTAAAAGAAAATGTATTAAACAGGAGTAGAAAAATGGTCATTTGACTCCATATCCTACATAAAGACAATTTCATTTGGATTAATTTAGATCTCATACTGACCAAATTAGATCAAATCAAATTTTGATTGGAATTAAATAGACTAGGCTATACCAAAGAATACCAAACCATACTTAGGATGTTTTTAATTGGTGCAATCTAGTTTGTTTAAGTCTAGTATACTCTAAACTGGTCAGATATATATTTGTCATATGTGTATCTTACAACTGTATCTATCATAGTATGAGGCTAAACCCAGTCAAATTAATAACATCCTTATACAATACAAAAATACACAGAATGATGTGTGACAATAAAATTTCAGTACTATATTTTTTCTTAAGGAAGAGTAAGTAATTTCATCCTAAAAAGATTATCATATCATGGCATTTGAACAATCAATAATGTTTTAACAAGTATCGATGATTTGAAGAGTTTAAAAGCACTTCAAATTTCAAAATGTTTAAAGGCAAAAATATCTTTCTTTGTGTGAACAAAATAGATATTACAGTTACAAAGGATGTCAAATGACACAAGTAATAGACCACGTGTTTATTCATACAAGACACAACAAAGTTATCTATATAGATTTTTATAGAAAGTAGGCTCCTTGGAAGCACTATAGGGTTGCTGTTCATCTTCTTCACTTTGAAATCGTTAGGTACCAAGGCAAAAACGTTATTTTGAGCTTCTTCAAAAATGATACAAAAAGGTCAGTCCTACTCTAGCCAATAATCCTCCATAAAATGGAGCATGATAATTGTACTCACTTTGCACACATAAAATCAAGTCGAGTTGAAAATAAGTTATGAAATTCAATTCTAGGCAATTGATATGAAGATCTTAAATTTTTAATTCGGTAAATCATTCACCCAGACACAAATATGCACACGTCTTTGTACTTTGCACATATGACAATTTGTGGTTGCACAAAAACCCATATCTAAATAGCGTATAATTAACTCATTACTTACGTGACATGACTCAAAAATAGAGCAAAAACAGTCTCTTTTATTGTTATGAGTGCCTATTTATCTAAACTACATATAAAATATTCAACTCGGACATTGTTTGGAAACGATCCACCGTTTTCATTTTGTATAAAGTTGATTCTCGACCCTTCTGGACCGCATTTCTGGCTCCGCCACGTAGTATATTATTATACTACGTAATAATAAATAGAATGAGAGCTACTGGAGTACATAGGAGACATACAAACTCTTCTTGAAACCTTCTTCTGGGCATAACTTTATCTTCTCAAAAGGCATTCGCTGAAAATGATTTTTCTTCAAGACTTGTGCTGGATATATTATTATGATAATTTGATTAATTTCCCTCATAGTTCTTATGTTTAATCCTAGGGAAAGATTTCCGTCCGCCGGAAAAATTTTCTTGTTATATCCTAGCGTCTCGAGCCACGGCGTTTATTCTTGTTCTGTTTTGCAGGTTTCTCTCAAAGTTGATGCCTTGATGGTCTGGTTCAGAGGAGGTGTTCAGCAGCTACTTTGGTGAACAACGGTGAGCAAACATGCAGCCGTAAACTGAGAAAGAAGAAATAAGTTGTTCGCCGGAGTACTATGGGTCCGCCGGCCAGAGCTATACCACTAGGAGCAAGTGATGTCGGAGGAAAATCCCCAACAACTGTCATTCAGATTTCCATTCAGACTTTTATAATAAACCAAATATTAAGTGCAATCTTATTTTTAGGCTTATATTCTGCCAATACAGAGGAACCACAATCCCTTGCACTCCAACATCTTCAACAGTGTGCATCTTTTAAGCCATCTTCAACAGTGTGCATCTTTTAAGCTTATATTCTGCCCATACATGGGAACCGATGCACATAATATTCACCATAGTGAGTAGTAATATCACATAATTCATGAACTGAAAATAAATTATCATTAATACTCAAACAAGAATTCAAGAATATTCCACAATGACACAAAAATTAGATAAAAGTGTAAAAAAAGTTGAGGTAAAGGTCAGATTGGTACTCGAAATTGCATTAAAAGGGTCAAATAAGTCGTTACTGTCCGGCCGTCGCCATTTGAGATGGTTCCCGGTAGAATTTTTTAATGAAATTTTTTGAGCATCTTATTGATTAAGTCTAGTTTACTCATACCAAATTTAAGTTAAAAATTCAATCGGGAAGGCATTCAAATGAATTCTTGAAGATAACTGTGTTTTGACTGCGCAGTTATCTTCAAAAATTCATTTGAATGTCTTCCCAGTTGAATTTTTAACTCAAATTTGGTATGAGTAAACTAGACTTAATACTTAAGATGCTCAAAAAATTCAACCGGGAACCGCCCCAAATGGTGACGGCCGGACAGAGCCTCCGATATAAGGACTTATTTGACCCCTTTTATGCAACTTCGAGTACCAATCTGACCCTTACCTAAAAAAAATTGTATAGATACTTGAGGAGCGTGCAGAATAGCAGAAGCAGCCAAATCATAGTTTCAGGCATATTTCAAAAGTTAGTTAACTATTTTCTTTGAATGATACTGACCGTGTATGTCTTATATATAAATGTCGCAGGTAGAGATGACAACATTTGCTTGATCAATGCTAATTCTTTCACCGTCTTGTTAATTATGAGTATAAATCAGATCTCTATTTAATTCATCCTCTAACCCATCATCAGTTCATCACCCACAAGCCACAATAATCTTATATAACACCTTATTATCTATCTGAAGTTGTGTTGTTTGCATTAATTGCATAAGAACAATCAATGCTAAATTTTTAATATGATAGTCGGGGGTATATGAAAATGAACAAGCACTAAAATTATACTACATACGTAGTATTTAGAAACCTGATGTATGTGCAACCTTATCAACAAGAAAAAATAAGACGGAGGTTAGATTTTCCTTTATTTAAAATAAATCAATTGTTAATATCGAAAAACTACCAGAAGAGATAGTATTGATTGTTTTTCATTGACAAATATAGGAAATTTGCAGAACGAAAACAAATAGTGAATGTAACGCCGATTGAAGAAAGAAAAAATCTCAAAGGATGAAGATGATGAAACGATGGCTAACTAAAATATAATCTAAACATACCAATCCGACATTAAGAATGCTAAGTTGAGAGCCCTCTTCGTAAGAACAAATACTGTCTTCTTATTTGACAAGACATCGTGGTTGAGCCATTGAGGCACCTTAAAAAAACATAGATATTGATAAAGGAGTCGAGTGCAAATAAAATAATCCCTATTTTTTGATGTAGTATTTTTGAGATATTTTTATTACGTGATCAAGGTGCTTTTCTGTTCGTTTTATTCTTATTACTTATTGTTTATTGTTTATTCTTATTTTATTCAGATCAGATCAGAAAGATTCAGATCAGACCAGATCAGAAACATTCAGATCAGATCAGAAACATTCAGATCAGATCAGAAAAGTTCAAACATGATTTGTCACTTTTATTATTATATTAATTATTATTATTATTATTATTATTATTATTATTATTAATATTGTTATTACTATTATCATTATTATTATATAATTATTATTAATAATATTAATAATATTATATAAAAAAGATATTAATAATAGTTATAATATTTTAATATAATAATAGTAATATAAATGCAATTATTAAGAAGACTATTATTATTATTATTACAATATTATAATAATAATAATAATATGATTAATATTATTATAATATAATATTATAATTATA